GAGTCTGATTTTAAGGTTAGGTCTTAGGACTAGTAGATAGGGTTGTGTCTAAATTTTTAAGAGAATATTTTTAACACTTTAGCAGTTTAGAACTAAATTTCCTGACTGCCGGGCACACAACCTCGTACCCAGGGCCTTTGCGCGATTCGGAGGCTCTGGTACGGGAAGTAAAGCCTCTGGTAAACACTGGTCACGTGACTTCAAAAATATTGGATATTTTTGTAACCTGATCATGTCATCCTGGGGGGGGGGGGGGGCAACTGAATATTGGGCGAATTATAAAATTTAAAAATGCATCCAAATGATTTTGACTTTGATTTTTAAAATATGAATGTAAAGGTGCCCCAAAAAAGTACCTTCTATAGAAATTATCTTATTGTTATTAAACGCAGGATTTCATGCGCCTGGTAATTAAAAACTCAATTTAATTGTGTTTACGCACTCTTGTGTTCAGCATAGTGCCCAGGCATCCAAATTATAACAATAGGATAATTTCTATAGAGGGTACTTTTTTGGGGGACAAACTGTATAACAAGTGTTTTAAATTCTTATTTTAAAACAACAGGCAGTAGAGTTTAAGCTTGTTTTTATTTTATAAACTTTGGAAATTATAAACTTTGAAGTCACATGAATTTTGAATGCCATATAAAGAAGGCAGGATATTCGAAGTAAACAATTTTATGATGCATATATAAAATTATACTCTCATATTTTTATCAGTTTTATATATCCTAAAGTCCAGCAGATTCGTGTCTTTCTGTTTGTATAATCAGTTTTCTTCGATTAATTATTCCTCCATCTTTCGCTTTTGGATATAAACCCTCCTTCATGCCTGATATATTTTTTGGTTATGTCCATCCTTCACTAATATAGTTCACTAAAATCAAGATTTTCTGTTCCAGCTTGCTCAGAAAATATTCAATCTTTCATAACTGGAGTTCTCTTTGACATGTAAAATCGTCAAGTAGTACTCTCAGGAAAATACTTATTTAACTGGCTGACCAATACAGTAGTCAAAAGTTAATAAATGAATATACATGCAACCATTACAAATTAACTACCCTCATACCAATCCATTGGTCTCTGACTCATCGAATAAAAACTTAACAGAACAGACAGTACAATGATAATAGAAAAGTGTGAAAATGCCAACGTTAGTCGTTACCTAACTTTCTGTGACAAGCAAATTAGATTAGATTAATTTTACAGTCAGGTACTATTTTCTTTATCGCCTCAATAGTCAATACTCTTGTTGATGATTTTGATGTTAAAAAAATTCTAATGGCCCCTATAAATTTTACTGGAGAAAATGTTTTCCCCACCTCTTGCCAGTAAATCTTCATAACACCCAATTTTACCCATCCAAGGGAGAGTCTTGCACACTACAGTAATGGGAGAATAAAATATGGCATACTTTGTTATTTTTCTCTGTCCAACACCAGAGTGACCAGACAATTTTAATTGTTAAGGGTAAGGTTAAGTGAATCATAAAAAGTGGCTGGATATTCTATACTTGCTCCATACAATTGAACTTTGCATGGTTGTAAGCAAAATGTAAAAAGACAATTACCAGTAATACTGGCTTAACTTACCAGGGCCTATTTTAGTGTGCAGTATTGCACACTTTGTGCAGTATTGAATAAAAAGTGTGCAGTATTGTATGCGAAAGTGTGCAGTATTGAAATTAAAAGTTTGAAATAAATTTCAACTTTGTATTAGATGTGCTGAAGGAGGGAAGTTGATGAAATATAAAGTCGAGAATTCCAAAATGTATTTGCAACAAAATGAGAAAAGACACAAACAAATTTTGGCCAAATATATGCCAAGTTCCAGTAATAATTCCAATATTCAATATTTTCATGTCCAGAAAAGCCGATGTACTTCTTTCCTCCACAAGATGGAAGAGCCTGAGAACGAGGTTGTCATTTGTGTCGCATCAGCGAATTACTACAATAGGTTATGGCTGATTTGAAAGGGTTTACTTTTTTGGGGACACTCTGCAGTATGTTGTCATTATGTTCTATATAAAACGTAACAATTCAAAGATGACGTCACATGGTGACGTCATTGATGACACCTGCTCTAAAGTGTGCGGTATTGAAATTTCCTTAGGATAGGCCCTGTAACTTACCTTGCAACCATGAGCAGTTGTGCATGCTGTTACTAATACAGCAGAATGTGGTTTAAAATGACAGTTATTTTATGCCAATGATATTCCAGTGTGCCAGTAAGACATTTGTCGTTTGTTTCCCTTTTAGTATTAGATTTTATTTCCCTCGCAGGTATTCAGATCCTGGAGTGCTGTGAAATGGCCCTGATCTTGGGCAATTAAGTAATATGAGTGGTGTGATAGGAAATTTTTTATTCATTGTGATTGACTAATAAAATTAGAATGGTGAGAATAATGATGATGATGCTATAGTTAAATACAAGTTGTAATGATACTGCTGATAATAAAAATATATTGTATATACCAATTGTAATGAGACATAAATAATAAAGAGATTGGCAGTAATTGGCAGTTGCATGGATACAAAATAGACTGTTTAAAGACAGATCACTCGTCTGTCAGACGACTAGTTTTCTCTCAGTTTGATCCTCGATCTTTGATCCTTTGATAAGTATTACCTTTCGCTATTCCACAATTTGTGGAAAGAAATCTCGTAGAATGCATATATTTTTAACATATACCCACTCTTAAATCGCACTAGGAAAGTTTTATTTATCATAATAACTGAAACTCGAAAACGTCGCTCCTTAGCGTTGCCATATGTTTGACAAAATCAATCGGCTCCGCTCCCCCGGATTGAAAACTAAATTATTACAAAATGTCCAATATTTTTGGAGTCACGTGACCAGTGTTTACCAGGGCCTTTGCTTCCCGTACCAGAGCTTCTGAACCGCGAAAAGGCGCTGGGTATGAGGTTGCCGGGTACACTACCCAGCTGCCAATCTCGTTCCCCGAGCCTGCGATCCTCGGGAAGGAACGCGAGGCTCTGGTATAATCCGTTGCCGGAAGCCAGGGATTCTGGCTAAGATTGAACTACGCATTCCATTTCAACGGCCAATCAGATTCCTCCCTGAAACGGATTATGCCAGAGCCTCGCGTTCCTTCCCGAGGATCGCAGGCTCGAGGAACGAGATTGCCCAGCTGCCACATGTAGACTAGCATTCTCGTACCCAGAGCCCTTCTTAGGCGCAGTGCGACGAGGGGCTCTGGCCAAATCCATATTCCGAACAGGCATCTGATTGGCTAGTTTTAACACATGATATTGTTTCCTTACCATGTTTTTTATGGTATCCGGTTATGGATTTGGCCAGAGTCCCTCGTCCCACCGCGCGTAAGAAGGGCTCTGGGAACGAAAATGGTAGACTAGTATTTCGATTCCGGTAGTTATGAAGTTTGATAGTTTTATAACAGATACATAAGTGAGGGATATTTTGAATATAAACTACCCGGCTGCCGCATGTAGACTAGTATTTTGATTCCGATGCAATTAAGTTTGATAGTTTAGTTACATGTGATGAATATTTTGAATATAAACTAGATCGAGTACACAAAATAAGCATACAGCCATTTAGTTTTGATCAAGTACGGTTAGAAAGCGTACAGCAGTTTACTTCTGATGGAGTACACGTAAAAAGCATACATTCACAAATAATTGATCGAGTACGCATATTAAAATCCACTATTATTATACTTTTTGTCTAAAGATTAAAGATTAAAGAGTACTGAGTACAGTCCTCAGAGTAAACAAAGTTTATAGCACGAGAGCAGGAAGTCGAGGGAGCCATTGAACGCTAAAAAGATGATAACAAATAATCACATGCGTCCATGATTTGTTTCGATTGTTCAGAATTAAGAGTGGCCGCGTGGGAGAATAAGTCTTGCGCGAAAAAAACCCGACCGAAACTATGACTCGAGCCGAGCTCGAGTAATTACCTTTTGATTCGGTTCTCAATTTTTTTGCGAAAGCTGCATGCACTAGTCCGCTTTTGCGAGCTGAGATGTTGATTTCTCGTCGTCTATTTCAAGTGACTATTAATTAAACAGGTGTATTACAATAGGTTAAATGTTCCTTGATTTTTAAATTTTGAACACTAAATAGTTGAATTTAACGTGTAAAGATTTGCATAAATGTGCGAGGTTAATAGGTCCAAAGGTTAAACTGCATACATATTCTGATATATAAATTCATATTTATGCGTTAATATATCATCTTAACCGTTCTAAAATTCTGACTCATGCTTTAGGAATTTTATTTGCTTTTATGAGGATCTGTTGTAAATTCTTTAGACCTTTACTATTAGACCACTATATTCCTAGCCGGCTGGCCAGCAAATTGCAAAATGCTTGGAGTATTAATTGACTGATAATAGCTCGACAAATGTAGTTTATAAAGACAGTGTAGTGTGCATAATCGGGGCATGCCTAATATAAGCAGCCCCTCCTACATCCCCTTCCCATGTATAAACCATTAAAAATGCCAACGAACGAATATAAGCCCAGGGATTATATTCGGAGACTGTTACGGGTATAGCTTAGTTGTCACAGTGTATTATTCATTCTTTATATTGCAATGTTTGGACAAAATACAGTGCTGCACCCTTGCATATTGTAAATGGATTGTACACATTTTCTACAGCAGGCGGCTGCAGTGGCGCGTTGAAGAATGATGGACCACTTCACAATGACATGCACGCAGACACAGCTATTGTGCAGAAAATTAATTAGCCTTGGTTGCAAGCGCACTTTTGTGGAAATACACTTTCCATGCAGTTTTGAAAATTTTCGGGGAAACATATTCCCAAACTCCCCCTATAGGAATCTTCCCGGCTTCGTTGCAAAATTATGTCATCTCAATAACAGCCGCAGTTCATAAAATCGCTATTCATAAAATCGCATACAAATTGCTTTCTGTACAGTATATTATGCTGTCCACAACTTTCGCAACAGCGTTTAGCAGTAAATCCTAAAATTTTCTGCAAAAATGTACGTGTTATTTCGCAGATTGAGACAAGCATGTTTTAAATAAATCCCTATAGTTTTCATAAAAGAGAAAGCTAGCTCCCATTTTCACAGCTTTCTTCAAGCTTGGTATATCTCGCGAAACCTCTTCAACTTCATCAGCCAACGTTTCCAAATACGATAAATTTTCGACACCACTGAACAAGTTATACTCTCTCAAGAAGTACATTGGCAAATTCTTCGTTCGTAATGCTCGCACTAACTCTTTAAGCATTTGAAGTAAATGGGTCGCAATATTATCTTCAATCCATGTTTCTGATGCTGACTTCTCGAGATGCCATAATCCTATAGTTTTCAAATGATAAGAGGTCAGCGCTTCCTTACTGTCAGGATTACATGGTACTAGGAATTTAATGACGGCTTTAAATGCTCTGAGAACCTTATGTTGTAGATTGTTTAAGTTTTCTATAAGAATTCCTTCTGCGCGGGAAAATGACAATCGGAAATTTCCCTCATGCGAACTTTTAGCCACAATGTGGAATCCCGCTTTAGTAACACTTTTGATAACATCCTGGCATGGCCAATTGCGCTCTCGATGTATCCATTCCAATGCATTTCGCGGCCAACCATCGCAACGAATTGCTAAGACAAGGTCACTGCAGCGCCAAATGTGTTCCATCACAGTTTGGAATAAAGTTTCCCAAAACGGTCCATGAAATAAAGCTGCACACGCAGGCCTAGAGAGTTTTAATGCAGGGCTGTCCGTAATTGGATTGCGTTGATCTGAAGTAAAGCGAAAGAACTTATCTCCTTTTGAGTAATTTTCGTGCAGATGTTCTTTCAGTTTGGTTGAAGAAAGCTGGCATATTCTACCCTCTATTGCATCAGACGCTGGCTCTAGTAAGTACGACTGCCATAGTTGTAGCAAGTTAATGTCGGAAAAATATGCATTGACGAAGGGAGAATTTTCATTGAGAGATAAATCTCCGCATACTTGATCAGCGTCAGTAAAACTGATGTTTTTAAGTATGCACATAAAGTCCACATCTGGTGGATCAAATGTATCTGGATCATATAGAACTAACCCTTCAGACCAACTACCAGACAGAACTGACTCATCAAGCTGAAATGGAGGTTCCGTGTCGAAATATGTACTCAAATCTTCCTTGACTTGTAAGATAGAAAATATAAATTCATTATATTGTTTTATAATTTCAGGTGCGTCCTTTATGGCAAACTTTTCAACGTACGTCTTCACCATATGCGAGAAAGATTTCATTCCAGCTTGGAGTCTGGGTACTTTTTGTAGGACTTTATTGAGATCATTGAGTTGTTGAATGTTTAACTGCGCCATTATATAGCGTTCGCTCCTTCCTACAAAATACGAAAAGGAGTCCATCATTTCATTGGAAATGTTATACACACCTTGTCTATATATGATTAGCGACAAAACAAATTATAACGATTAAGATTAATTGCATGTTAGTCTGAGAACGAAATTTGAATAAAGAGTAAAAGATCGACAGGCGAAAATACAGAGCTATGCATGATTAATTAACTAAGGTACGTCTACGCGAAGAAAAACAGTTGCATTTTGTCTACATATACACGCACGATTAAACCGACTAAAATGCAGGAGCTCGAGTCGTAAACGAGCCTCGGGAAATAGTTAATTTCGTTTTCTCTTGAATGTTTCCTCTTTGTTTCTCATTGAGACTCTCGGGAAAATAAAACTAACTATTTCCCTGCAGAGCAGACTATTTCCCTCGAGAGCAGACATTAAGTGTATATAGTATACGGTGAGTTGCTCAACCAATCAGATTCCAAAATGATTCATATTATTCGGCCATGGTCATACTGTATTGTAAGGTTTATTGCTCTTTTTAACATAGTTGTTAGGGTTATAATATTTTTAACAAAACAGGATCCATGTTTGCGAAATGACCTATTGTCTCTACAAATATCATCCACATTATAAGCTTTTTTGGGTAGATTGCTGCATGCCTATATTTGTTAGTAGGGTGGTGCATGATTTGTTGTCTACAATATGTTTGAGCCTTAATTAAAGATCGAACTACATTATTCATAATTTAAACAGTTTAAAAAATTCTTCCTCGATTGGCATAGTGAAAACAGAACTATTGTTTTATTTTGTGGGAAAACCTGTTTTTTTATTCGACAAAACCAATTCGATGTGTCAGAATTAATGTTGGTCCCACCACAGGGGGTCCAACTTAGAGCTGTGTTATGAATATGAATAAAACATTAATTAAACGTAATATGAATAAAACATCATAACGCAATAAATTTAAATTATTGCACTTACTTGTATAAATCATAAGAGCTTGCATTTATACAACGAATGGCTTATTTTTCAAACAGGGCGCTTATATATGCTCAGAAACATTGATTAGAACGATTGTTCAATACGGCGAATAATTAAATTGACAAAACGAAAATATTACATGACGTTCCGACGAAATCGTTGGAACGTCATGTAATATTTTCGTTTTGTCAATTTATTCGCCATATTTGAACAATCGTTCTAATCAATGTTTCTGAGCATATATAAGCGCCCAGTTTGAAGCTATATTCATTGTAAATGCAAGCTCTTATGATTTATACAAGTAAGTGCAATAATTTAAATTTATTACGTTATGATGTTTTATTCATATTACGTTTAATTAATATGTTTTATTCAAAGCACAGCTCTTAGTTGGACCCCCTGTGATCCCACTATCATTGCATCATTGTTTCCACTGCCGCTGGTCAAGATCTGGGCTTATGATCTATAGATCTGCCAAAAAGTTGCTTTTTCGACAAAATAAAGAAATTAGATAATTCATACTTACTATTCAAGATTAAAGTCGTCGATAAGTTCTTTATGCAGTAGTTAAAATCAACAGACTAGAAGCTAAATCCAAATGTTAAAATATCATCCCAAACACGAACCGCGCATAGATATTCAAAGTGGAACAGAAAAACAGATTGTGATTCTGAAATGTCTCTTGTGCTGAATACAAAAATCATGATAACAGGATACCAGATTCGGGATGTTTCCTTGTTGGCATAAAATGAAAGAATAAATTGAAATCGGCCAACAGGAAACGTATTACGGAAAATTCATTTATGCAGGAATAAAAATGTCTTGGAAAAACCTTTTGATGAAAATATCTTGAATGAAAAAATCTGTCATTGGGGGTGAAAAAGCTTATATAAAAAGCTTCTATGGTGAGAGATAAAAATGGTTTGAAAAAAGCTATTATTTATATTTTACAGGACCCTTGTTAACTTCTCGCAAGGTGATCATATATTGCCAGCACATGCAGATCGCGAGGTTAGCGGCTCTCTCACTAGAACAGTTTAACTGAGGGAGTGTCAGGGGGGGGGGCGAGCAGTGAAATGTTGGGGAGAGGGGGAGTTTGGCGTTTGTTTTTCGAAGGTAACCAGAGTTTGGGGAGTAATTGAGGTGGGAGAGGGTCATCATAGTTTTAGTTTTAACAATATTTTGAACCCTTTAATTGAAATATTTATTATAGAACATGAAAATTTTCAGTTATAAAATTGCTACAAGTTTACAGGAGCCTTTGCACTATTACTAACGTCTTAAAATAAAGACGTTTTAATTGTTTAACTGATATTGTATACCCCATATTTATGCACTTGTACTGCGGGGGTCAGAAACGTTTTTGGTTTTTTCTTTGGTGGGCAGGGGGTGATGTGAGTTTCGCTGTCGCCTGAGCGGTGTTCACGTAGATATTGGGTGGGAGGTGGTGTGAAATGTCGCCCCCTCCCATAATCATAAATAATGAACACTCCCTAATAAAGCCGGTTACAGTCGAGAAAGCTTTCCCTGACAATTTTTCATCAGACCAGTTTTATTTTCTCGTCTGTAGGCAACTTTGCCAACTTTTACTATGACAAGTACTCTATAGTGTGCCAGCTTTTCAACAAGTGCTGTTGTCGTAGAAAAAATTGGCAAAGTAGAAGTTTTGTTCCTCTCCATGAGTCGAGAAAGAAATTTTTCGCGAAGTAATTTGAGCCCATTTTTCGGGAGACGTCCGTGTTGTCAAAAACGTTACTTCCTTAGGCTCACTACTAGTTACGTGGCAGTCATAAAATACATGCTATCCGGGAGTCGTCAATGATTTCTCGCTTTTTACTCTGAGGAAAACACAAAAGAAATAGATGTATAATGAGTGTCTTGGCATTTTCATAAAGACACCCGTCGTTTTTCTCGTCGAATTTTCTTGGCTTTGAAGTCATCAATTTTTGTTTTTACATGAGCTAAATATATAGTTTGATTAGTTTCAGTTTACACAAGTGTCATGCAGGGACTATTATACGTCTTCAGTTGTGTTAATTGACATCGAATGTGATTTTTTTGTTTCTATATCAAAACTAGAAAGTGAAAGTTGATTCTGTCAATGATACATGAACATTCCCTTTGTGGATAGGAAATAGCCCCCCCCCCCCCACCTTGTAATATAATGCCAGAAAATGTTTCGAAAATATATTCTCACATCCCCCGGCCCCTGCCCACCCACGGGGCATAGTTTCCCTTTCAGGACAGCGGACTTGCTTCATTCTGGCAAGGCGTGAATGTAGGCGACGCTAGTCATACAATATTTATCACTATGGCGTGACAAGGATCCCATGCAAAGTCATGATCAAGGATGTGAAATTAGTTGGACTTGAAGGTTCAGTTTTACTTTCGTTTTCACAATCCAGCAAATATTCCTAAAAACCTGAGATAATTTAAACCTACAATATTGTTGCATTAAACAGCATAGCCCAACCAAAAATTAATCTTCCGAATTGTTACCTGGAATAGTATGTCATTCAAGCAAATATTACACCGCTGTTATTTAATAAGACCCGTTTAATTCAGGCGATGTCGTCTTCATGTGCCTAACTTAATTGTATTAGATGCGACACTGGAGCGACACAAGAACGGCAGTGATTCAAACGGCGTTCGAAATAAAATGTATTGACAAGGTTGGGGCGCATTCGCCAGCGAAACCTAAATAAATTAAAATTCAAACCAAATAAGTCTATTTTCTAATTACATGCAAGATATTTGAAAAAGTTAATTGATTTAGGTTTAATTGGCACATGAGTGGAGCGGCATATGAATCAATGTGGTTCCAACGTCGCATAATGCGACAAGCTCTGCCGAACAAAGCCGAACTTGTGTCGAACTTTTGCTGCTCCAAATTCTGCCGTATTGAATTGATTCATACGTCGTTCTTCTCCCGTATCCAAAGGGCAATTCCAGCTTTTAGTTTATGCCTGCAGCGGATGATGGGAAGTAAGTATCATATTGCCGATTATGCTGAAAAATGTCAATAAAAACTACCGAAACAACAGAACTATTTCAATATTTACAAGTATAAGTTGTCAATCCGTGTTTACACGGCCACCATTTTAATTTTTTCAGCATAATCAGCAATGTGATACCTTACTTCCCATCGTCCCCTGCACGCATAAACTAAAATCTGGAATTGCCAATTGATCAATTAAATTTGGCACATGATAAGTACGTTGTCTTGCCTCATAACATTCTTTGTTAAACTCAAAATTACTTTGATAAACCTACTGTTACTTGTTAGCAAGTAATTAAGGTATTACATTTAAAATTAGCGTTTTTTGGTTCTCTGTTTTTTTGGGACAGCTACGCTAGTCCGTTTTAGCGATTTTTGCAAGAACACCCGCGGATAGTCATGTTAATCGGTGTCAAGACAGTAGAAAAACTTAAAAACGACTGCAGAGTCAAAAACTCTGAAAGAACTCTCATATACGTCAGAGATACAAAAAGGCACTGACAAGAGGCACTTGATATTGTGGCACAAACACACTCAACTATTTCAAGTGGATTTTAGCCCTTTATAATTTCGTTATCATTCAAAGACCCTTCCAGAGTTGAAAGTGCATCATTTGACATTTGGCTGTGGAGCTTTGTCGGTTTTTGTGATTGAGACTCCTGGAATGCGGTCTGCTCCCGAGGCCGAGGGATATATAGCTAATTTTGTTTTCCCGAGAGTCTGGCAATATTTCCGGAGACGAAGTCGAGGGAAACATTGAGATTCGAGGGGAAACCTAACAAGACTAACTATTTCCGCCAGGCCTGTATTTTCGGTTCAGGCCTGTATTTTGGTTCGCATACTATAACTATAGAATAGCATTACGTATACTACACACGTAAAAACGCACACGTTGTTACAGGTCTGCAAACAAGTTGCCATGTTACAAATCTGTTCACAAGCTGTCGACAAGTTGTACTCACACTACTTGTTCCCAGTTGTTGTAAAAGTTTGGAACAAGCTGTTAACAACTTGGAACAAGCTTGATGCCATTATCAGACTTGTTAAATGGCTGCACGTTCTAACAAGTGTGATACAGCCGTGATGATAACAAGAATGTTACAAGGTTGACGACGCAAGGTGGTAACAATATTGTTATATTATGACCATTTCGGACTTGTTGGAACAGCATTGCAACAAGTCCGATAATATCAAAAAGCTTGTTACAAGCTGTTACAATAATTAACAACTTGTAACAAGCTTGATGGAAACTTGAGACAAGCAGTACGAACTCAACTTGTTGACGAATTGTTGGCAGACGTGCAACAAGACGTGAGATTTTTGCGTGTGTTTTGCATTATGCCCATGTACGTTACATGCAGTAGACCTATTCCCTAATGAACAAAATTTTGATATAGACAAGCTAGTGTAGACAAAAATTTCATCACAGCTTGAAAGAGCATTACAAAATTAGTAATATTCCAAAGTTTCGCTGCGAAATGTTGTAAAATGCGGATAATATAGCCTTGCGAAGTTTGCCGTTTTTCAGTCATTTTGTATTACGCACGGGAAATTGATACCTAGCTTTTTTAAGACTTGTCTAGATCAAAATTTTGTTCATTAGGTAATAGGTCCGTTGGCAGCAAAATTTCAATCTTCGGATTTATAGGGACGCAACTATACCTGAAAAATACAAGGAGAACTTCGACGTTTCGAGCGAAGGCCCTTCGTCGGAAAATATAGTGACTAACTTTCCGACCGGAAGTGTCTTCGCTCAAAACGCTGACGATCTCCTTGTATTCAATTCAGATATAGTTGTATTCCAATCGAGGCTTTCGTATTATTCGCACCATAGCTAAACCTACACTGGTACAGAGCGTTTAAGAAGCATCTTAATTTGCCTATCTCTATAACTCCAGCGAGCTTAAACTAGCCGGCTTTCGAATCGTGACAGGCTTTATTTTTTGTTTGCGTATAAATTTTAGATTAAAATAAATAAAATTCTAAATTTAAGTACGTCATTCATTAACATATCAATGATATATATAAAGACCTTTTAGCTATAAGGAATTCTTGTTTGACGTAACAAATACTTTAATTTGTACGTATTATATAGCAATCTGACCTGAATAAAGAATCTGACACTATTTTATCATAAGTGATAGCTGCATAAAGGGGTAAAAGTATTCCTTCCCATGAAATAGGTTGACTACTTCACAGGCGTTCGTTGCGGATCATGTCAATACGCTTCGTCTGGTGCCATAATTGAAGGGGGTTTATAGTAATTTTTCTACGTTTATTACATCTAACCAGGAGCAGTTGCTAAAAATTCAACTAATGGCACCTTAATTGATATCGCTTAATACAAGATGCAACTAGGCTTAATAGCACTTAATAGCACCTTAACATGTAGCTGGTCTGACACTAACGACCGCAACCAACGCCTGTAAGTTGTCAAGCCGCTCACAAATTGGTAAAATCAATATTTCAGGATATGTTGTTTTCATGGTGGATCGATATTCACTTTCTCGTCCATAAATGTTTTTAAATCTTGCAAAGTGGTACCATTTCCTTCGCACGTAACTGGCAAATCTACATCTCTCCAAGTGAAAGGATAAAGATGTTTCAATATTTCACGACCGCCTCGTGGAACCCACGCATTATATCCGGCAAACTTGGCCTTGGGTAATGGCGTTTCCGCCATCCAAGCGGGAAAGGAATGATATATTCTGTAATGTAGTGAGAAAAGCCACGGCTCAAGCCCGGGCCTCTTCATCGTTCCATAATAATCAATGAATATAAAGATCCCCAAGTGACCAGTTTGATTAGCTGGGAGCACCTTATACGATGACGTGGACCAATCGTCTCTCACATAAAAACCAATATTAACTAATTCTTCAACTAATGTGTCTTTCATAGCATAGAAATTATCATCTCCAATGACACCTAAGTCAATATCGTGATCCCAGGGCAAAGGTCCATGGAATCTATAAACGCCCCACAGGCTGCCGTAGAGTAGGAAAGAAGTCATATTTAATTTATCCATGACCATAGTTACATCTTCAGCAAACTTGACCAAGCGACGAAGATGTTCAGGCGTTCTATAACACGGAATTTCGTGCGAAATGTCACATTTTATTATATCTGGATTGATATTTATCGTTGTATAAATCGATATACAGATAAAAATTATTGCCGCAATACATAGTCTTCGGCAAAATGATGTTTTATTGTTCACATTGAAAATCGTCACAAGAACCCTTCTGAACATTGCTGTATATAATGATCGAATGTCTGAATGACTATTATTCCCATGGATATGTGCGCTGAACCAAGTAATCTGTAAACAATATTATGTAAATTCTAATGCATTTTTCGAATATTTGCCTGTGCTAACCACTCACAGTTCGACATCCTTTTTAATATGCCACAAAAATGACGTCCTATACCGTGGTGTGTATCAACTATAGAGACATATAGTAATACATCTATTAACCTAAAATCGAATCTATACCATATACAGCAAATTCAAAAAAGGTCGTCCTTCGAACTCTAAACCTTAATTAATTAAACTCTAGGCGCGAACTAGGAACACTAGTGTTTGCTGTATTTAGTCAAAAAGACTCACTGTGACACTGTGCGGAAGCCAGCATGCAGATGGCGAGACTTGTTTAAAATCGTGTTGTGATTGTCTGTTCGGTTGATATTGAAACTGGCTAAGTCATGATCATTTGGAAATAATTGAAGTCGTTGAATAATTAACTAGAATGACTAGAATAATAATTTAACGTCTCACTGAACAACCTTCCCTGTCTTTCCCTGTTCCCATGACGATGTGTCAGTAATTCTTTAGAAATGGAAAGTTACAATTTATATCGCAATACATTTTGAACAATTATTACTTATCACGATCTAAGCCTTAAGCTCAAGACTATCTGTTTTAATTTAAACTTTTCACAGCGGGTCCCCCATCCTTCAAGTGAGCAGTACGAGAGGTTTTAACTGTATATAATAATCATAGAACACATAATTGGTATCGAATGTACTAGACGTCTTAGTTCCGAAATACCACACACACACACTCGAACAGAGTGGGCCTCGTAGCTCAGTTGGTAGTATGAACTATAGCTAGTATGCCAAAGGTCGCGGGTTCGATTCCCGGCCACCGTGGTCAGGCTAACTTTTCAGCCTGACCGGTGTTGATATACGCTCAGAGTATCACCAAAAACATTGTGGTTACACTGAGAACTGCATGGACTTTGTATAGCTCAGTTGGTTGGAGCGCTGCACTTGAATCAAGAGTTGCTTTTTTTGCAACTGCATCTTGCTAGGTCTTCATGACTTCATAAATGTATAAAATTTTCAGTCGAAATTTCCACCAGTTTTACTTGTTTTGGCTACTACTATTAAATTCGTGGAACTAATTTGGTCTAATTTGCGGCCCTGTAATGTTATTACAAGGTCTTTCCGATAAGATAACACTATTTGACGGCCTTGGAATAGGGACTCCAGCTCCAAATAGTGGAAAATAAAATAGCGACATTGGACAAGTAACTCTAGCTATCTTGATAGTAACAACGACATATGGAAAAGGTGAAAAACAATGATCAAAATGCCATAGCAATGTCGAATTCCATAAGCATAGCAATATGTTTTCAAGTGGCGACATTGTTTGTTTTGAAAATCCGAAAAATCACCCTAAAAGGGCCACTAATTTTGGGTACCGAATACAGTTGAATAATGATAGAAGGAAATTGATTTCTTTTATGGAATATGCATTTTATTATTTTTAGAACTATTTAATTTTTATAACGATTTAAAACTATTTCATTTGTTATAGAAGCACCTCCATCGCAATTGCTTGCGAGAAAGGCCATACATTTGAATTAGGCAGGTATAGTTTATTACCAATGTTTCTGTGATCACATTTACAGTGGGAATTTTGCATAGGTAAATTTAAGAAATGTTTCAGGGAACTGGCTCGTGTGTTAACACTGACTAAGTTTTCTCACACATTTCTTAATACAAAACTTAGAATTTACGACCAGTGCCACAGAAAAAAAGCTTTCAGTATTCTATTTCCGTGACACAAAAGTGTCGGCTTAAATGAAGTATTGACTATTGAGAGTTATAATCCAATATGGCTGCCGATGAAGTGCTACTTGTTTCAGAACATGTAAGATATAAGAAAAATAAAGGCAAACTCAAATTACTTTCTGACAAAATAATTTGGACAGCGGATGGTGCCGATAAACCACGGCTCTCCTATGCATATTCAGACATCAAAGGTAAGAAAAGTGCATAAATTTTAGACGGAAGTCTAGATAGTTGAATATTTGAGACTGCCAGTCTGAGTGTCGTATTATACAAATGTTATACTGGCAGTGTCTGGCACAGTTTGAAAAGTACAGGCGCACCAATCTCCACTGCCCAGGGTTTTGAAAAAATAATTTAGAGCTGCATTTACAGGAAACAAGAGGTGTTTGCCAAGGGGGGGGGGGGGGGGGG